AGAGAGAGAGAGAACACTTATCTCATTAGTAAAATTTTCAACTCTCTAATAGGAGAATATTTTTCTCACGAAAGAAACATATTCAACAATGATGAAATAAATAAAATTGTCCTTTTCATGTAATATGTTATGTGTAGTATGTCGAATGCTTTTCTTTGCCAAATTAAAAAATCTAAAATATTGTCACTCTCGCTCAACATGCATATTCCGTACGTTTAACATAGATCGATCTACGTCAATATTTAACATGTCAACATTTATCTTGTTCTTACCTGGTGAGACGGCAAGTGCGAGGAAGGCAGCAGCGGCAGCGACGAAAAATATCCTGAGTGCATTTCCCGAGCCGCGCCGTCTTCCGCCTAACCTATTCCGAATGGCGCGACAGCAACAAAATTCGTCATTGCAGCACACCCTCGCCGTGATGTCTTCGTATTCCGATCGGCGGAGTTGCACATCGAGGACGATGTGATAGGCCTTTTCCTCTTCCTCCTCGTAAGGCTCCTCTTCGCCGTCGGCGTCCTCGGGCAGATCAGCAGCGAGCACCGATACGCGACGTCGACGCGGTGATCCCGGCAAGCGCGGGTCGCCGGCACTGCGGTTGCCGCCACCGCCACCGGCACGGTCGATCGCCGGCTCGCCTCGATACATGGCCTGCGGGAGCAGCGACGACAACGGTGGCCAACAACGTGCCACCGGGGTCGGCTGCACTCGTCAACGTATCCTGCTGTTCGCGATGCCTGCGATTACACCCGTGCCAGTATTATCCACGGCAGCCCGGTCTCTTACCCTGCCTGCGACACCGTATGACCTAGCGACACGTTCGCTACTGCGAGGCATTACCGCTACCTAAAGCGTCCGAGCCGAGCTAGCACTACTAGCCACGGACACACGTAGCACTGATTAACCGAACTAACCGATCAACCGATCAATCAATCACCAATTTTTTTTCTTTTTTTTTGGAGGGGGGGGGGGAGGGGTCTTCCCGAGACGTTGCTTTCTCCGATCTAACTGGTCCAATCCGCGATCGACTACTTTCGACTACTTTCAATTACCCGGTCCTCTCGGCGATAACGACCATGGCTTGACGTCAATTATATTATTCCCGCAAAAAATATATTTAGCGAAGAAGTAACGGACGACTGTAATGTAACAAGATAGCCCGTTTCGCTCCGTTTCGTGCCGTTTCTCGCGACGTATCGCACTTGTTTCACATGACACACACGCTCCGAAGTGTATTCCGTGCGTACTACTAACGCGTACCGTAACGCGTGCCGCGCGCCGACGAGGGTGAAGGCCTCGAGGAATCCGCCGCGGCCTTCTATATCTGCCGCGTCGGAGGGAAGAAACCCTTTAAACATATACGTGCTACGTATTAACGATGACACGCATCGAGCGTGAAAGGAAAGAAGGGTTTGACTGTTTCTGTCCCCTTCGGCACCCTTTCTCTCTTTCGACCGTCCTTCTCCCCTTTTCCTTGTCTCTACTCAAAACTCGACCACCACCCTTGCTCGCGCAACAATAAATTACCCCCAAGCTCCATCGACATGTTCCTCCTCCACCCTCTCTGTCGAGAAGCGAACGACTGACTATTCGTCGTCAAGCCTAGACACTACCACCGTCCAGTAAGAAATGTCGATTGCCACGAGGATACCTCTGCGTGGTCTTGTCAGCAGCGGCGATAGTGGCGGTGGTGGCGGCGGTGGTGGCGGCAATAGCGACGGTAGCAGGCAGCACCGGCGGTAGTGGTAGCACCGTAAAGGCGATAGTAGCAGCGGTAGCAGCAGCTGCAGCTGGTGGTGCACCAGTGCATCGAGCAACTGTGCTCCACTCGTGGACGATGATGACCGAGTAAACGGCAGCAAATCGGTGATTCGATGTTCGTTTTGGTTCGGTTTGGTAAATTTATCTAATGCGCGGAAACTTGCTTCCTTTCTCGTATTCCTACGATTTATTTGTACAATTTGCTAAAAATTTCTGTGTAATCCCTTCACGACGCGCGATCTCTCGTCAAACGATCCAGTCTTTTTTTATTATCAACTTGAAAAAGTCTTTTTGCAAAAGTCCATTCGAAGTCCACCCTCTTTCTTCTCTCTCTCTCTCT